TTGAAAGGGGTAACTTCGCATCAGACTCGCTTCAATAGACCACTCCTAATCTACCACACCTATTGGGGGTGCATCCCACTAAACCCTAGGGATTACTGAACCCCTCTGCTTAAGGATGATTAAACAGATGGTCCTGGAATCCAAGAAGAGTTGACCATACTGACTCAAGAATGAAATGAGTACAGTATGTCAACGGAAGAACAGCAGTCTGGCCCACGATGGGCATGGACACACTGCCGATGTATGAAGACAAAACCACTTGATCAAAATGGAGAGAGGAACTAGTCCCCAGCGGAGTCGCCAGAAAATTGTCGGTCAACTTTTTCTTTCTTTTCGATTAGATTGATTTAGATTTATTTGAAAAATATGATATATGAAAATAATTTTTGAGATTTAATTTAAATATAAAAGATATATAGTTTGGGTTTTGAAAGTAGTATGTTTTAATTTTTGAAAAAATGAGACCAAATGGATCTCATTAGTCTGATAGTTTGCAAAATCGTGCCTGATACCGCAAATACTACACCTTCCCGAGAGATAAGTGTAGACCTCAGCGATAGACCCAATCCTGCAAACTAAGAGATTTGTGACATCCGTTTGGTCTGCGAACCTTTTATATATGACCGACAAGTTCCCCTATTTGATACAAAGATTAAATAGGGTTTATTTTACCTGGGTTTCAAGTTCCCTATAGAGGCAAGCCCCTATAGTTAATTACATCCCAAATGACGGGAGTCATTTGAGAAAACTCTCGATAATGATCAATGGTTCTAGTCTTCAAGAATTCAAGGTTCAGGTTTTCAAGGTATGACGTAGAAGGGCAAATAGCAAAGGCGAACGGGAGTGGGGTCGAGCGGTCTCGACTCAGAGAGGAGAGGCAAGACTGAAGTCGAGCGGCTTCGGTGCAGTGGAGGGCGAAGCAAGCATTTCAATCGGGCCTTCGATCCAGTCGCAGAGAGGCGAGGGGATTTGACGTGGGTGGAGGGATCGAGCAGGCGAGGAGTTTCTTCGGCGCAGATGGCGAGTGCGGCTGCGGCTTCGGTGCGAGAGACGGAGGCAGGAAGGAGGGATCGAGCAGAGAGCGGGAGACTAGGTTGCCTTCGTCGCAGGGAGGAGGGATCGAGCGGGGTCTTCCTGTTCGCAGAGGAGCGTCCGAGAGGGGTTTTCGATCGGGAGGAGGCGAGCGGGATCGAGCGGCGAGGAGTGGGTTTTCCTCGGTGCAATGAGGAGACGCGAGAAATGGCGGCGTCTTCGGCGTAGGAGCAGGGCGCTTCGGTGCGGGAGATCGCGAGTCGAGCAGGGGACTTAGTGCCGAAGGAAGGAATCAGGCGGGAGGAGGAATAGGCGCAGTGCAGAGAGGGGGAGAAGGCGAGCAGGAGTCCTTGCGCGATCGAGCGGGACCAACCTAAGTATAGCTAAAAATTTCAGAGCCGTTACGCGAAGAATTGAATGATTTCCTTTCAGGCACACAGCTTAAATGGAAAAGTTTAATGGGGGGAATTAAATGATAAATTTAAATTTAAATTTTGAATTTTGAAATTTCTGAGCTGAAGTGATTAGAATTAGTGAATTGAATAGCCCGTGCTTAATCCATATCGAGCCTGAATCGAACCCGGTCGGACCTGGGCGGAGTCCGGGCCCACACACCATTAATAAAAAAAAATGTGCATCGATTTTCGTGCAATTCGTGTGAGTGGAACCACAGCAATATGGGTGACTTTTCTAGCTAAAATCGACGTTCCGGAAGCGTCGGCGCGGTCCGTTTCGTCATCCGAGGTCGTTCGGACGAGTTCGTCTACGGGCGAGTCGATTCAAGTCAAAGTCGTGTGTGATGCAGTGAGTGCGTGAAATGCGGCGTTCGCGAGTAATCGAGCACAAAGGGTTCACCTAAGGCTGTTGATCCTATAGTCACTCAATTTCGGGCCCTCTACATGTTGGTCCTTAGCCCTTGCAACTAAAAGTTTAGTGTTTGTTGGAACCACTCATGCGAGTTCTTCACAAAAATGAGTCAAGAAGTGGCTTGAAGTTCTACGGGAAGTGGGCTCCATTACTAGTCTGCTAAGATGGTCAACCAGGAACTCCTAAGGCTAGATTATGGGTTATGGGAGTAGGAGACTAAGACCTCACAAAAATGAGGTCAACATGAGCCTAAAAAGCTCTATGAGATTATGAACATAGATGGAGTTTTTATGATTCCAAAGGATGTCACTTGGTCAGACAGGTCTGACCTTCCTTTGTAAGATTTCAAAAAGATAAACTTGAACTTTCGTAGAGTTTAAGCTTCACCAATCTCTCTTGAGAATTCGTTCTCTAATAGTTTTTTTTGTCTTCTTCTCCTTCTCCTTGCTCATTTATCTGAGAACTCTGAATCATTTATGCCCTTCGTCCAATCCTGGACTAAAAACTCTTCTTGGTCCTGTTCATGGTGGCTCCCGTTAGGATAACTTTTGCCTCTATAGTTCTCATCCTGATGCTTCTCGCCTATGGGAAAATTGGTGATTAAATCGGTCGAGCTAATTCAATACGTAAGTCAGACGGATTAATGCACCAAGTCAATGTAACAGGTGGACTTGACGGGCTTGCCGAGGTATATAATAGGCCCTAATAACGGGATTTTGGTCTTGTGATTCTTCAAATATCCATTAGATTATGGCCGCTCCAATAAAACTTGTGTATTTCACTGGGGGCTCATGGTGGACAATTATCGTATGTATTTAAAATTATATTATCTCAAATTTAAAAAAATAATAATACTAATTAAGAGAAAAAATCAAGTAATTAAATTTCAATTTTAAAAAATAAAAATAAAAATTTTCACTTACCTTCAACAAAAAATTCTCATCGGGCGGCGGGGGGGGGCGCTGCCTACCAACTGAGTTTAATGTTGATTACTTGCAGTAATTTTTTATTGGAATTTTTTAATGTTGATTACTTGCAGGAACTTTTTATTGGAATTTTTTTGCAGTATTTTTTAATGTTGATCCGGAACTGCCTACCAACTGAGGAGCTCAAAAAATTCTCGACTGTGGTGGACCAGTCTATGCAGGTTGGACCATTCGATTTGATTGGGATTTGACAAACTTGATCAACATTAAAAAGTTTAGATGGGTAAATAGCGATGGATGATAATGATAAGTAAATAGCGATGAATTCTGTAGCCCTTCGTTGGCGGTCCAGATCTCTACCACGTCAGCAAGAAAATAGAAGGAGCATTTACATTCATACCACCCAATTATTATGTATTGGCATGTCTAATGCCTAAAATTTGTTGTTGATATTTATACCACCAAAATCTTTAATATTAGATAAATGAAATGCACGTATGAAATTTTCATAAATAGATAACATGGCATGAATTTTACATAAAAATTGAAGCTTTGATGTAACAAATGTAAATACATAAGAAATGAATGGTATTTATGTAAATCTTCAAGATTAATAATAATAAAGGACAGGAATGTACTCTGCTATCGAGAACCGAAAACATGCTCTGGTAATAACTAATTGTTTTAAAATGCCAATTTTTGCAAGGATACCTTCTATTATTCTATAGATGAATAAGAAACATATAAATTAGATTCTATTTTCACCTTAATTTCGACAAACTTAGCATTTCTAATCACTAACTTAAGCATTCATTTTGCTGGCAATTACACATATACCATCCCAAATTTACAAATCAAGCATTCCCTTTCATACACTTTTCAAATTCTCAATTAAATATCAAATTTAATGATAAGTCCTAATCAATATTTTTCATTTTTATCAAATTCTGAATTGTCACATAAATGCATCGATTTGATAGCTTCAAAAAAATATATGTGTACGATTTATGAATATCATTTTTCTAACAGTGCCAAAAAAAATTATCTGGATGCTTCAATTATTAACATCACTTTCTTAGGTGCTTTGCATGTGGTTATCCCTTTCACCTAATACGAACAGCTTAAGTCAAGCCTTGTAGCAGAACTTCAGGTGTAGCGACAGTTCAATTGTTGATCTATCACATCCAAGCAGTTGACTGATGCCACAAATCACATCAGCGAACAGTTAAGATTCTCGAGGAGAAGTGGAATCGAAGGGAAAGGAAAAGAGGCATTTACATCTACGTACCGCCCAATTTATGTGCTTTTTTTAAATGCACATCATCCAATTCTTTCATTCCATATAAAAAAATATTTTTTTTAACTTTAACATATGAAATACATCTTTTTAATGTATATATACTGTGACATATATAATTTAAATTTTAAGTGCTAGATATGTATATTCATAGGAATTAATCGGCATGCGGGTAAATCTTCCAAAGAAAGATTTAAATTTAGGTGCCTGATATGAAATAAATAGGAATTAAGTGGTATGCAGGTAAATCTTCCAAAGAAAACAAGTTACAAAAGTACTAATGATATTAATGTTTTTTTTTTTCAGTGATTTTGCAACAATATAAACATTTTAGAAGCTTAATCATCAAAATTTTAAATAAAATAGTTCGTCTATTGCTGGAGTTAGTCCAGCCGAGCTCTGAGTCCCGCCTGACTCAAGCTCCACTCGTTTGACATAACATGAGCTGGAGCTCAAATGATGAGTTCAAGCTCAACTGACGGCACTAACAGCAGATTTGAGAGCAACGCTCAAGAGCTCAAGTTAAATTATCATGGGAAATCGCCGAAAAGGCAATCCAAGTCATCAATGGCAAGAGAGAATAAGAAGTGCCACACAGCTCACTGAAGAAGACATCGACAAGACCGGAATCAGGCTAATCGAGCCGGCTCAAAGACCTCACACTCGGTTTGAGCTTAACGAGCTCTGCTCACTTACAACCTAAATCTCCCCTAATCCCTAGTAAGCCAGCACAACCCAAACGGGGGAATGGGATTTTTAATTCCCATAAACGTCAATTTATTCCGACGATCTAACAGAATCAAACATCCAACTAATAAAATCAAGACGAAACAGTTGGGTCGACAATGGCGAAGAAAACAATTAAATCCATCGCTTACCTTCACCGGAATCCTCTGAATTCTCTTGGCGAGCTCCCTGAAATGCCGATCTCTTATCCTCTCCACCTCCTTGGGTAGGAAAGAAGGGAATTCACTCCCCGACACCCTAACCGAAGCCGCCGATCCTCTGCTGCTGACCATCGACATCCTCCGTCGCCGACCTCGCTCGCCGCTCTCTTTCCTTCTCGGGAAAGGAAAGCGGTTTGCAGAGCTTGAATAACTTATTCGTTTTATACGCCCATGGATCGTATTTATCTATTCCAATGTATTTACAAATATGACCCCAAAATTTAAATTAATTTATTTTTACGTTGCGATGATGATATTTAATGGAGAGGATGGGTTTCTGCAGCTGTCGTCACCTGCGAGATGGGGTGGTGGCAACTTGCCGCAGGAAGAGACGGGCAGTACGCAATAAAATTTTCTTTTGCCCTTGGGGCTGTCAAAAAAAACTCGTTGTTCGTGAATAACTCGTGTTCGGCTCGCTCGTTAAGTAAACAAGTCGAATACGAACAAATTTTTAAAGCTCAAATTATAAACGAGCCGAACACTAACAGCTCTTTGTTCGCTCGTGTTTGGCTCGTTTTAGCTCAAAATTAAAAAATATATATAATTCTTTATATAACTATATTACATATATTATTTATATAATAAAATAATATATATATTTATATCTAAGTTTAAATCATTATATATTTATATCTAAATTTAAATTATAACATCTTGTGTGGTAATGTGGTTATTTTCTTCTTTTATATATATTTGGTCCAGGTTTGAATCCCATCATTTACATCTCTTTTTTCAATTTAATTTTTTCGAGCTAATTTCGAGCCGAACACAAACACGAATATTTAAATCGAGCCGAACACGAGCTATTTCGAACGAGCCGAACACTAGCCCAGCCTAAGGTCGCTCAAGCTCGGCTCATTTACAGCCCTATTTGCCACTGGTCCGCCCTCAATTACCCAAGAAAAGATAGCTATCATAATTTTATCATAATTTTTTTTTTTTATCTCTCGCATGAATGTTAAAATTTATAATTCAAAATATAATTAATGATAATATTGAAAAGCTAAAAATAAACATATCAAAATGCACATCATTAGTCACTAAGATCAAGGAGATCCAATAATACAAAAGAACATAAGTTGGATAAAGGAGAGCCGGTCGGCTTGAGACTAGGAGGTCCACTTATCCAATTGGATGCAGTCATCTGATTTAAGAAAGAAAGATAACCATGTCATGAGCCTGAACTGATCGTACTGGAGCAAGACAGATAAGCACTAGAGTTAATCATCGTGAGAAAGTCAGGCAATCGACCTACCTCTTGGTTACGAACACCCTTAAGGCTTCTCATCAAGGACCAAGAATTGACAATAGAATAGTGTCTCACAATCATACTGAAGGATTCATTGATCTATAAATGAGCTATCTATCGGGTTATGACGATTCACCATGTTGTGATTACTTCTCATCAACTGTATTAATAAAGAGAATCTGACAAGCTTAAAATTATTTAATTTTGTCATTAAAATATTTAAATGCATAATCAAGAAAAAAAGAATTAATCATCTAATATGGTATTTTAAGAATCTTGATGTCCCTTCCAATTCTTTCAAATCTACACATGAATTAGATTTTCAATAGAAGCCCAAAAATTAAAACTTTTCTATTTCGGCAAATTTTCAAGCACACAATTAATAATAATAATAATAGTATTATTATTATTATTATTAGTATTATTGTTAGTATTATTGTTGTTGTTGTTGTTTATATTCATGAAAATCAAGATATAACTTTATTATAAATAAAATTTACATTTTAAATTTTGATAATAGTTAATAACTTTCCTATGAACCTAATTAACTAATACCTACATATTAAATATCCTTTTTATACAAGACCATTTCTTCATAAATTATCATGCATTTCATTCGTAATCAAGTGAATTTTAAGATCATTGAATCAATATGCACCACTAATTTTTATGATGATAAAGAAAATAAAATAATTTGAATTTTATATTTGATGAACATAACATCAATAATTGAATAGAAAATAATGATAATTCATGATTGTCTTTTCTTAGAAAAGAAGGCACATTTTTTGCTTTCTTTCAATCTCTTGAACTTGATATTTATAGATAGTGAAATTCAACCAAATGATATTCAATAATATATGGGATTAATGGCCGATGGTCTTTGCCTTGAGAAAATGTTACGTCCAGAGTTCGGGTACAGACCCGATCATGGAGTACAATATGGTTGCATTAAAATTTTTTCGTCAGTACAACCACATTGTACTCAATTAAGAAAAAACATCTAAATAAACAATTCAATAGGAAAGCTATAGAGTAAAATATGGTTGTACTGAAGAAAAACCTTAAGTACAATCATGTTATACTCCCTGACCGGGATGGGCTTTAGGCTTCTCCGTTTTTCAGACAATGACATACGTCAAATTTTAGTTGGAGACCGTACGTAAAGACTCCGGACATAATATTTTATCCTTTGCCATAAAGTTGGATCATGGCAAAGTGGTATTAATCTATCTAGATAAAAAGCCCATCCCCACTTTTTAGACAATGACACACGTCAAATTTTAGTTGGAGACTGTACGTAAAGACTCCGGACATAATATTTTCTCCTTTGCCCTAGAATTGGATCATGGCAAAGTGGCACTAATCTATCTAGATAAAAACTAATATATATATATATATATATATATATATATATATATATATATATATTAAAAATGGAATGGTCGTAGGCTATACTATACGAGCTCTATCATCCCTCATGCACTTAAAAATTCGAGTACCACACCCTGGGAGGGAAACAAACCCCAAACCAAAGGGGACTTACAATTGACAAGCAAATGGCCGACCAAATGATCTGAGTACGCGGCACAGATATATATATATATATATAGAGAGAGAGAGAGAGAGAGAGAGAGAGAGAGAGAGAGAGAGAGACACACACACACACACAAATGCACATACATATTTACATACATACATATACTTATATAAAGTGTCAAATTAGTGTCCATTATTGATTATTTATATGGGTCGTTTTAATCTCAAAATTTATATGTGTCAAAATAGTCATCAACTATTCTAAAATTGAACTCTAATAATCCTCATATTGACTATTTCAGCCCTAATTTAATAAATTATAGGATATTTTTGACACTTCTATAAACTCTGAGATCAAAATGTTTATATGTTAAATAAGAAAAAAAAAATTTTGTCCAGATCAGGTTGCAATCTATGTCCGAACAACAGACGTGATACATTATGGACGGTTTTTTTTTCCACTCCGCTCCTTCTGATGCATCGCGTCCGTTGTCCCTACTTTTTGAAAATAGGGGGACAATTTTGACACTATATATGTAAATATGGAAATGGAAATTTACAAGCATTCAATATACTTCTGATGTATTTACATGTCTTAACACACAAAAGCTTGATATTTATACCAACACATTGATGTCATAAACCTACAAAAATTTGAGAGGTATATATGTAAATATGAATATTAAAAAGTTAGATATGCAAATATATGAGAGTTGTGTGGCATGTAAATGCTTCATATGTACAGTATACAATATGAACTGAATGGTAATAATTGGCTACACGAAATTTTATTAAATTTAGTGTACTTTTTTATGATATTGGTCACGAGCCTCCTGGTCCTTCAAAGATTTGGATGAATAAGTAAATAGCTGCATTCCATTGAGCTTAAAAGTAAGAAAATGAAGAAGAGGAAGAACCCCCGTGATCTTTAGAATAAACTTATATTCATGGTTTCCGTAGCTTTCTTAGAAAGTCTGCAACTTCCTTTCATCTATTCCCCCCAAAAGATGCTTTCTTTCCAAGATGCAAAGGACGGGGGCCGGTAAGGGTTGGATTAGTATTTTTAATGAAATTTTGCAATGAGAAATTATGATAAAAATGAGATTTTGCAACGATAAATTATGATAAAAATTTACCTTTCGACGACATTTTCAAAACGATGCAAAAATAAACACATGTATTTTACAATAAAGATGATGATATTCATAATGGAAGAGTAATGGATTATCGTCATAGCTTTGCACGAGAATTCAGCGCGCACTTGGATGAAAGAAAATAATTGATAATGACACGATAAATTTTTACGTGGAAAATTCGGAAAGAGAAAAATCATGGGATTTAACCAATCTGAAGAGTTCTACTATAGAAAAATGATTACAGTTACAATCATTTCACATAAGCGAAAAATGATTACATAGATTTCCTAAGTTACAGCATTAACGTGCTGATGACTTTGTTGCTAGGAACAAACAACGATCGATAGTAATTGATAACGTCCGATCGGTGGTGGTCTACGTAGATTAACGGCGTTTATCAGTGGTCGACAGAGGTCAACGATTGGTTATGATTAAAAACGATCAGCAGTGATCAACGACGGTTGGCGGTAGTCAACTGCAATCAATTACAGTTAGCAGTGCTGGTGTTGGACTTCAGCTCTTTCTCGAAACTTCAAATTCTTCCTCAAATCTCAAGCTCTCGTCCTCCCTCATGAGAGGAATGATGGTCTATTTATAAAGTTATAGGTGCAATTAATGCAGAAATATAAACAATTTTGATCGGACGACTCATAGAGCTAATCTCAATCAATTATCGTTTGATGGACATTTGAGTGTCAAACAATATTGAAATTGAGCAATCATGGGCTCATTGGATTCGTCTCGCCAAAATGCTTTATTCGACCATGAACTTATCGGATTCAACAACTATTTGACATCTCAAATGTGTCCGAAAAACTTTCAAATATGATTCACTTATTTGGTCATGGCTTGATTTGGTTCAGATTGAATTAATGTTGGTCCCATGAAGTCCCTCCCGCCAAGCTGGTCAATTTAACAAGTTTGCTAGAATCAAAGTTATGGATAATTTTTTATCCATGTTTGAATATTTCTTGTTTAAGAGTTTGTCTCGAGATCTGTCACGCATTAAAACTCATGCAGGATGATGAAGAATGGTTGGGCGTAAAATAAAAATAAAAAAAGAAATTGCATACATACCACACCATTCTTATGTACTTACATATCTAAAATTCGATATTTATATTGATAACATTTTAGTCTCATATACATTAAAAAAAATGAATTTCACTTTAAATAATAACAATAATAATATTTTTAATATAATTTTAATTTTTTGAATATTATGAACTTTTAGATATATAAATACCTAAAAAATACAAGATAAATATCTAAACGCCTCAATAAACTAATAAAAAAAGTAACTTTAGGAATAGAGATCAGGTCTTCGAGAACACTTTTATTTTATTTTATTTATATTTTAATTTAAATCAAAACATATTGGATATAAGAAAATTATTTTTAAAACAAATATTTTATATAAATTTAAATATTTTTTAAAACAAGTTCATTTATTATTAAAAAAATTAATATATATCAAAACAAAAAATGCTCTAATTCATTACGACATTGCTAATTTTAATTTAAATTATAATTAAATAAAATTTACTCAAAAAACATTATCCTCTTTTATCAATAAAAAAAAAAAAAAATATTCTTAAAAATGAAAAAAAAAAAAACTTGAATTATTTTCCTTATATTATTTACACAAACAGCTCAAGCTATCATACTCATATAGCAAAATAGTATTTATTTATTGAAACAACATAATTTGGATAATGATGTTCGAACTTCGCTTATATTAAAAAGATTAAAAACTTGCATGTCCTGAAGAGGTTTTAGAGGCCATTTGGCTTTATGCATGGTATAATATAATTTAAATACGACAGCAACAAGCCTTTGTGCAAATTATAGAGGAATTAAGTTGATGTGTCGTACTTTAAAATGATCGGAGAGAGCAACTGAACATAGGTTAAGATGTATTACAAAGATTTTTCATAATCAATTTGGATTTCCATCGGGTAGGACTATTATGGAAACTATACATTTATTGAGAGGTTTGATGAAGAAGCTCAGATGGTGGTGAGACCTGCAATACTCTATGGCTTTGAATATTCGCATTTAAAAGAGAAGCATAAAACTAAGTTAATTGTTGTCGAGATGAGAATGCTTAGGTTGATGAGTGACTTTACGCTTAGAGACAGAATGCGAAATGAATATATCCATGATAGGGTTGATGTAGGTCTAGTGGAGGACAAAATTAGAGAAAATCGTCTTAGATGATTTGGTCGCATTAAACATCGATTGCCTGATGTTCCGATTATGAGAGTAGATGTTTTAGATGCGACTTATGTTAAGAAAGACAGAGAAAGACCTAGAAAGACTTGGGCACCACAAATTGATCTGTTATCGTTCCATCGCTACCATCACCCGTAGCCAACCATCAGCCACTAACATTTGTCACCTCAACTAGTGGGTTTTGCAATGAATTCATTTTACTCGAAATCAAACACAATCAAATAATTTTAAAACATTTCAAAAGCATTTTCAACAAATCAATCGACGCCCCCAAACAATCCCTAATGCAAATAAAATATTAAAAAAAAAAAGTAAACACAAACCGCATCAAAAATGCATAAATTACATTATTATTGATGTAAACTAGACAATGATTTCAATTATGAAATTTTACACCAATAATCTCTCCAAAATAATCATGGAGACCAACAATTGAATCTACATCACCCTTTCGCTCACAACAAGCTACTAAAAACGATGCTAAAAATGCAATGTCTTTATTTCACATTCGATACTACTAATTTAATGAAGTTCTTGCTATTGCATACGAGAAAACCAAACAATCCCCATATTTTTTTGTCAGCTATGATATACTCAACATAAAATACAAACAAAAAACAAAAAACTTAAACTTCACAAATATACAATATTGCATGGTTAGTTGAGCACAAGATAATGTATTATATGTATACCCTAAACATCCAAGAAAGGATATGCATGCGAGTCATATTTTCTTAGCACATGGATGGTTAGTTACTTTGTAAGATAATATATAAGTAAGAAGAGCGCCACAAATGAAGCAACAAGTGTAACCATCCTGCGGCTTGATTTATTTTCAAACACCTGATGTGTGAGATTATATGCAATGCAATAAGTACTTATTAGAGAAAGGAAGATTTACGTACATGCCACTTGATTACCGTTTATTTACATATCTAACACCCAAACTTCATTTTTTTACATGTATGCCAACTTATCAATGCATGAAAAGGTGTGTTGCTCTTTTTAAAAAGTTAAAATAATGATTTTTTTTTTTTAATGTGATATGAAAAATCTTGGTGGTATAAATGTAAAGAAAAAAATTTAAGTTTTAGATTTGTATAAGCATAGGAATTGGGAGGTATGTATGTAAACGCCTCTTAGAAAAAAGGGGGGCATTTACATACTTACCACCCAATTCTTATGTATTTATATGTCTCACATTAAAACTTTTATATTTACATGCATGACACTAAAATCTTTAATATCATATAAAAAATATAGCACAACTACCACTCTTCAAAAGTAAAGTGCACTTTTTCATGCATAGTTTTAAAGGCACGTCGCTGTCATAAATATGAAGGCATCGCTGTGAGACATGTAAATACATAAGAATTGAGTAATAGTATGTAAATTTCACCCAAAAAATAAAGATAGAGCATGGAGTTTACCATCTTGAAACGATCCATGGTTCCAGATAGGACTCCTCTTGAAGAATCCATATCATTTCCCTGAAATTGTAGAAGGCTAGCAGTGTAAGCCATATTTAAATAGAAATAATGAAAAAAATATATATTTTTTAAAGAGATTATGCAACGAAGGTACCATTCTATCCAGCATGCGATTGTGGCTTTCAACCTCCTCGTGTATATCACCTGTTAGCTGTTAAAAGCCAAGTATTTTATTCAAAAAGGAGGAACGGGATGAAGAGAAAAAACACCGAAGGTATTATAAAGCAGATATATATCACATAAATAAAAGGAAAATTTATATACATGACACATAATTGATATCTATTTACATATCTAACACCTAAAGTTTTTTATTTACATTTATGTCACCTTGAAGCTATAAATCTATGCATAAAAAGGTGCGTATAACTTTTAAAAAGCAAGTAAAAGTGGTATTTTTTTTATGTGATGTTAAAGATTGAGTGCTATGATTATAAATATTAAAGTTTAGTAAGATATGTCAAAACATAAGAATTGTGGGGTATGTATGTAAATGGCCCATAATAAGAAATATTCATATACATAGCACTTGATTCCAATGTATTTTACATATTTAATACTAAACTTGAATTTTAGGCTTGAATGTAAATGACCCAAAACCAAAATCTCACTCAATTGAACCCCCAAATCTCTCCAATTACCCCAATTTTGCAACACTTCCCCACATCAAATTGAACTTTCAATTGGCCTTGGTCAAGCCTCAATTTCACTTAAAATCAACTTCGACCAAGCCCCCAATCTTACCCCAAATTAGCCATATCCCCAAATTCCACCAAATTGAACCCCATAACCCTAAAATTTCCACTCAATTTCTATCCAAAACTCTTCATGACAATCACCCACATCACATTGAACCATCAATTGGGTCTTAGCCAAACTCTAGCCCAACTGAAACCCAAGTCTAACCCATCATACCCAAAATTGTTCAAATGTCCAAAATCCTTTAAATTGACTCCTCAAATCACTTCAAATCTTTTCTAAACTCCTTGTGACAATCATCTACACCATTTTGATCAATCAATTGAGCTCAATGTCATGACTAGCCCAACCTAAACCCAACATACCCAAAAGTGACCGAACCAAATCAAATTGATCAAACCAAAGCCACTACAACCACCATTTGGAGTCTAGAGACCAGGCTAGTCCCACCTAGCCCAACCTTACATAAGCAATGGTCCCTTAATTCAAGGTATTTCACCCCATTTTTGGCCTAAATCAAAATAACTTTGTTATCATGTCATGCCATTAGGGGTTAATCATTACTAACCCTCCCACTGGCTCACCTGACCACCTGACCACCTGACCACCAGCTCAGGTCTGGTCAGCCACCCTAGTTGTCGGAGGAGTTAAAACCAAGAGCCCCCATGCCTCAATCCAAACCAAATTGCACCCATCTAAGCTGGCCAGTTCCAATTGGCTTCGACATTTTTTAACCCTCCACCTAAGCATTGTTTTGCACCCATCAATTTGCCCTGGCAGCCACCCTAAGCCCTTCCATTTAAACCAACTTCTCCATGGCCAGAAGAGAGCTAATAAATTTCCTTGGGGAAACTCTGCCCAATTGCTTCCAGACACTCTCCAAGAACTCCTAAGCTCAAGACCACCATTTTCCCCCTCTGGATTCCTCTGTGAGAGCTCAATTTTGAGTTCAACAGGGAAAACCAGGACAGATTTCTCCACAGCTCCACACTGAACCAAACTCCAATTAACTATGCACAAACCTTCCTGAGAGTGAGAGGAGTTGATTCCCCACAAAAGCCCCATCACAGATAGCCTCTAACCTAGCTCTAGACCAACCTAGCTCTAGACCCCTAGCTCTAGACCAACACCTGAAATCGGCTTTGATCAAAATCATACCTAGACAATTAACAACAACCCAGGAGCTCATCTGGAGGTTCGTTGGACTCATTCAAAGTTTCTACAACCATCTGATTGAGGTCTCCCCACTCAGACAAAGGTATTGAGCCTTAACCCTAAATCGAGCTTAAATTAATTCTCCATGCATACAAACCGTATTTCATACCGTATAAACCGTATGAATGTATTCGTCTTGAGTTGATGAAGGTGTAGAAACAAACCCGAATTGTGCTGTCAACTGCTTGTTAAGGGGATGGTTTTTAGGTTGGCCCGTCCTTGCCATGGGTTTGACTTCATGGCAAGTGTTGAGAGGAAAATAATTACAAAATTATTCATTGAACATGTAAGGCCTATAAAAAATCGTACATACGAATATTTAAAAAAAAACAACCATTTCAAAAAAAAACAAATATGAGTATAATACTGCCACTTATGCAAATATTAAATCAAATACAATCACCATTCAACATTAGGAAACGAATATATTTTGCTTTTATTGCCTTATATATCTATTATAGCTCCTTCCTGTCATAAAACGGTAGGTGCGCTATTAACTTGGATAAAAATCTCCACAACTTGTTCTAAACTAGGAATATCAGGAGTATTCTTCAATATATTTAGCTCGTTCATGATTATTGGTAACATAGATAACTACGTGATTGTCGCAATTTAAAGTCAAAAGTAAAGAACTTTAACCTTCATCATCGATCACATATGCAAAATGAGTCATAGCTGCAATTTGTTTGTTACTTTTCCATGAAAATACATTTTCCAAAACATAGATCCAAAGATTGGCTTCCTGTAATCAACCATCCAACATAATCAACATGTAGAAAATGTATCATCATTCAAAATCTAAAATTTAGTACATACAAATTATTTCCCTTATGACTTTATCTTATTCGAGGATTCTAAAACTACTATCAACTGCTTTTTTGTCAAACTTTGCATGTGCAAATTCATTGCTCCATCAAGAAATGAAACATCAAATTCTATAAACAGTTAGATAAATCAACCAATCAATTATCTTTCAATTTTAGATGGATCTCGAAGGATTTCATTATCAGTAAATGTGGTTTGAGCCTCTAAAGCGATATTAACATGCTTAACCAAAAAGGCAAATTTCTTGAATAAGGTTAATAGCAAAAAAATTTTAGTGGCATTCGATTTTTACTACATGCAAACTCAATTTCAAGAAAATATCTTGATTGTTCAAAACTTCAGGCACAAAGCACCTTCGCAAATAGTGTTTTAAATTGATATGCCATCAATATAATAGAAAAAATGACGGATATTGCACAGGTTATGCTAAATAGAGTGTGTAATTGTTACTGATGTTGCGAAAAAAAAGAAACTCAATTGAGACTTTACAGAGACTGCCAAATTAGGCCATGGATTATGTTTAAGGGCATAGATAACTTTCTTGAGAAGGCATATACGCCCTCCCTCTAAGCAAAGTGTAAGTAAGAATGCTCCATATAAATGACTTCTAGCAAGCAACCAAAAAAGAAAGCCCATTTATAACAAAATCCAACATTGACGGATGTTTAAAAACAAAAAAGATCTAAATGGATATCAAACGTTCAACCAAAGAGAACGTGTCAAAGAAGCATACTACATGAATATAAATGAACCCTCAAAGTCTCGCAGCAATCAATCGATTCATAATGATAAAATTTGGTAGTGAAAACCCATTGATAGGCAATGGATTTGACCCCAAGATAAAGGTATGGCAGTTGAGCAGAGCATCTATTTTAATAGCGATAGCTTTCTTACATAAAGGATGTTGCAATGCATCCTACTATATCACAGAAACATATATAAATGAGAGATAAAAAAAATGTATGAAATAATATGGCCAATCAAATGAAACATAAAAGTGAAGAGGATGGAAATATGTTGTTTTTTACTTCTCCAGGATATAACAAGATGTAGATACGATTTCTCAATGACTTGAGGACGTTTGGTTGAATTTAACAATATGGTGGAAGATGCTGGCATGGATGCAAATCGAGAACAATGGCAGTATTTTTGTAACGGTTTAACATTACGAAAAAGAGCTTCTAGTGTTGAAGAAGGCTCTGGAATAGATGAGGTAGAAAAGAAAAGGCAAGTCTCATAAAAATTTACATAAACAAAAATACACGTGTGGTGTAAGTGGATTATAAAATTGATAATGCTGTTTAGTAAGAGAGCACACTAGTAAGATACACTAAATATCATGCAGGATAGCTTGTCAGACGAGCAAAATGCATGAATAATGCAAGTAGGGTAAAGAGCCAATGATGTAGTTGAAAATTTAGCTTTATCAAAATAATAAAAAAAAGACATAGGTGAGCGGTGTTCTAGACTAGAGATGGGATTTGATTGATAAGATTGTAGGCAATTATAATTTGTGTAAGCATAAAAACTGAAACAAAAATTTAATAAAAGAAAAGTCAAAATTACAACTAATAATAAAAATTATATTTTAACAACCAAAACATAAAAAACAAATAAAACTAGTTAGGCTCAATTCAATTCCAGACAATGCATAACCCCAATGGGTATGCATGTTTAAGAAAGAAGCTTGAGCAATGAGCAGATGTAGAACAAGACAGACGAAAGGAGTACAGTGAAGCCAACAACAATACTTCTTGTGGATGCCAAGAGCAAACCCTATTTGTGTAGGTTCAATCTTATGGAAGGCATAGATTCTGCTAGGTAGTAATGCCAGCAAGAATCAAAGATGAAGTCAAGACCAAACAAGCACTTGTTGAAATCTAGATTGGACGGAGGTCACGATTGAGCGAGCATAGCAAGAGACAAAGCAAGCAAAAAAAAAAAAAAAAATTATAAGCATTTTACGTAAGATCAAGAGAGTGACTGTATTTCTTGCCCCTGATATCATGTTGAGGAGAGAACAACTACTGTATTATTGATTAAATACACGAGCCAATAAGTATGAATAGAAAATAATACAAAAAGAAAATGAATAGAGTATAATACGCTAAATTATAAAGATGTTAAACATAATATAATCACCTTTCCGCATTGGGAGACTTGCCTATTTTGCATATACTATAAAGACGTCGATAAAAAGTTCAATTGATTCTAAGGTGCAACAAACAATAACCATGCATTGCAGCTATTAAATTGTGAGCTATCATCAAATAAGATGATAGCATGCTAGAAGTCATAAATAGTAGCAGATATATTCCATCGCTTTTGATAAATTTATAATAAAGATTCCATCGGGATTACAAGCATTAAACTCTACTAGAAGTTCTATTTAATTTTAAATATGTAGATTAA